GTCCTGCAGCAACACTTTACACTTTGAAGGTGCGAAGCGCATACCAAGTAATGGGACCACTCTAGATAGGCTATTCAGGGTTTGTTGTGCCGCCGCAACACTGTCGAAAAGCAAGACGATATCGTCCGCATAATCAGGATCAACTAATCTTTCACCATTAAGCACTTCAACGCCTACATCATGAGATTCCGCTAGGAAACACTCCATGATAAAGTTCACAACGAAATTGAACAAAAATGGAGAAATCCGACAACCCAGACGAACGTCACTTGTGGTCGGAAAGCTATCCGATATGCCGTCGTGGACTCTGACGCGGCCTGTAGTGTTCGAGTATAGAGCATGTAGAATGTTCATATATTTCGTGGGAACACCTTTTCGCGCAAGTATTTCGAACAGAATCTATCGACCGGCTGAATCGAACGCACTCTTGAAATCGAGGAATACAGCTATTGTCGGTCTGCGGTATCCGTGGCGCTGCTCTAACACCTGCCTTAAAGTGCATATATGGTCTATACAGCCACGTCCTGGGCAGAAACTGGCCTGCTCTTCCCTAATCCGAGATCCCCATTCCACAATGAAGCGACGAACGAGAATCGATGCCAGTAATTTTGTCACAACTGGCGTTAGACTAATACCTCTGTGGTTAGAACAGTCTGCGACTGCCCTTCTTGTATATTGCCACTATAATCGCTTCGCTCCAATTAGCCGGGACACTCTCTTCCTTCTAGATACGTTCGAAAAGGGTGGTCAGGACTTTGCAGAGGACCTCACCTCCATCCTTAAATAGTTCAGGCGGGAGGGAATCCGGGCCAGCGGCACGAAAACGATTAAGGGCTGTGATCGCGTTTCGGACCTCAGCCTCTGACGGAGGCTCTAAACTAACCGTCCATGGGTCGTCCTGCATCACCTGAGTAGGAAGAGGTCCGGGAGCAGAGAGCCAGCTGAACTGATCTTGAAAGTGTTCCACCCCACGTGCCATACAGGGCTCCTTATTTTGTATCAGTGCACCCGCGCTGTCTCTGATTGTCTCACTGATGCCTGGTTTCCTGGGACCAGTGGTGCGGATCAGCTGGAAGAGCTTGCGGTAATTACCTACTGCTCCTGCCTCATCCGTTTTTTGAGCCCGAGTGGTCCACCAGGCTTCCTTGTCAGCACGTAGACTCCGCTTTAGTTCGCGTCTAAGAACCCGTCTGGTCACATTGTGCTCAGAGCCATCCGGGAGATTTCTTCTAGATTCCAACAGGTTCACCGACCTTTCGGATATCCAGTGACTGGTGCGGTAACGATTGATAGTGCCATAAGCATATGGTCCTGCGTTTTGCATGGCGACCGAGATCCTATTCCACTAAAGCTCAGTGTTATTACAACCAGGGGGCAAAAGTTCTGTACACAGTGCACCTTGGTAGACTTGCGTGACCGAGGGTTGATCTAACTTCTCAGTGTTTAACCGGGGGAGATGTTTGGTCCGCCTCCCGCTAAAGTTCATTTAAATTCGACAGCGTACCAATTCATGATCAGAGTCGACACAAGTGCTTCAGAACGAGCGGCAATCCAGGATGGGACCACGCCATCTGTAACTTGTGGCAGTGTGATCTATTTGGGTCCATCGCTGGTCAGCTGCAGGAGGACGCCAAGCGGTACTTCGATGCCCACTGTATCTGAAAGCAGTGCTACTACGAAACAACTGGTGCTCCGCACACAGTTGCAGCAGATGCTCGCCGTTGTCAGTACCGCCCAGGCGACCTACATGTACGTTCATGACACCTGAAAGTAATCTGGACCGGTAGCATTGCGTGCTAGCGTGTTCATTTCGTGGTCGAATGTGTCCTTAGCAGCATCCGAACTGCAGTCATTAGGAACATAAGTGGAAATAACAAACAAACAGCGTCATCTACTACGCGAATCAAACTTGGTCGATGTCGTCAAACGGGCTGTACTCTAACGACTGTCCATCGGAATCCAAACAACCAACGATGACCCAGCCTTGGAACTGAGTACGACGTCTACCTGAGACTGCCGCATCAGTCTCCTGATGCATGCAACCAATAGGATGAGGACAAACTGGACCCCATACGAATTTTTGCTCTTAGTTTCGAACATCCGACGCCGCCAACAAAACGGGATAGCATGGCCTTATAAGGGACTTTTGCCGATAAGCTATCCCATTTCAAACCCCCAAACTGGAGGACCAAGAAACTGCCTTTGTCTGACCTCTAACCATTGACCAACCTGGTAGGAGTAGCTCTCATAGGCCTGGACGCACTACCTAATATAGCTCAATGGGTCAAAGAGGTACGTCGCACCACGTTAAGGCCAAGTCTCGTTGCGACAGTGGCCAAGTCACCGGTTGTTCTCTATTCGTCTGTCCTCATCCCGAACCACATCGGGCCTAATGGAAGTCATTGTACTGGATTGCATAACAACCCAACCAAACAACAGCAGTAGTGAATCAGTACATTCGACATTCCAATCATAATGCCTTACGGGGAACCACCAGCTACAATGTCTCTCACGGTCTCTTCTGTAGCCTGGAACTTGGTTCAGTCTAGCAACGTACGATGTGCGCATTTGAATGCAGATCGGACAACAGGCTGGTCTTTCATGCATCTTGGAGACTCTCAAAATTGACGTCTACAGTCTGGCTAAGACGCGACCTTAGGATTCCGACACGGTCTACTAGTTTGCGTTATCCATCCACTAACACACATGTTTAAACCTTGCCTTTCTGGTGACGCTGTCTGCGGAGTCTGGGCACACACTCAGTGCTACAACCGGGGCCCTCTTCTTGATCAGGTTTAAGTCACCACCGTCTTTGTGCCAATGGGCTCCGTGGATCTTGCAAGGTTAACAGACATCAAGCCGACAAAATTTCTGTTTTTGTGATCTCTGCCTACGCATTCACTGACTGCAGCTTAGATACAGTCAAGGACAAGTTCTATGGTAAACCTTCATGATTTACTTCTGAGGTGTTTCTAAAACGTACATCATCCTTTTAGCAGGATATTTCAGCTCACTTCTCGATCGATCGCTGCCATATGAAAGCCACCTCGTGGATCGCATGTATGTGATCATGTTCGCTCTCATAACCGAGAAATAATGATCTGTTATGTGTTGGCCATTAGATTTTCCTCTCTAGCACGAGCTTTTGTCACTTTGGACGCCACTCTGCAGCCTCAGCATTGGTCGCGAATTGACCACGTAGCCATAACTCGCAGGTAGCGTGTCAGCATATGAGATTGCCGATCATATTGGTCAACATGTGTTGAAACTGATCATGCATTCGTGAGTGCTACAGTTTGCATGCGTTTCGGTTATTCACCTAGATCCAAAAATCTTGACTGAACACTTGCAACTTGGAGGATCTGACGTTGCAAATGGAGTATGAACTGTGACTTTGAAAACCTGCTTCTGTCCCATCTGTATTTTGAGAAGCGTTGGCCAGGCTTCAACAAGCCACAATCTGCAGGTTTCTCCAGTGTTCTATGAATAGCCTAAGCAGTTATGTATCAAGTTAGAAAGTTGCTGTTTAAATCTAATTTGGACAGGCCAGTCTCGAGTTATTGCCTCGTGCCTTCACTTGTTTCACTGTACTTGTGGTAGCGAGCACGTCGTCCGAACTGAAAGGACACTATCTAAAGGATTTTAGAGCATATTCTGCGAATGCTTCGATCGCCAGCCACACTTGACTACCACGTGCGTGAAAATCTACGTGAATCATATAGAAGAATCAACCGACAGAACGCCGACCGCCTACTTCAATTTTCTGAGGCTTCGACATTTAGGCAGCTGAAACTTGCTCTCTGTAAACAGACCGAGTTCGTCGCCAGTCTCGTCTTGCCTTGGTGAGGCTGGAGCCTACCTTCCTCTAAGCGGAATGCTGGCCAGCGTCAGATTAACTCTGACTATTCTAAATTTATCAATAAAGTTAAACATTCATTGTCTTTGTGTGCGATCTGGCCATTACACATATTCTATGCAATTTGCTGTCGAGAACACTGTAAATAGCTGAATTCCGACTATCCTATCGAAATGTTCTTTATAAGTATTTTGGGATACTCGTTCGCTTTAACTTTCACTGCACTCATTGAGCATATCGTCGTTAAGATTTCAAGTCTGTGATCGCTTCTAAGTGATAATTTATCCGTCCCACACCTTCCTCCTATTAACAGCCGACATATATAGAGGGTACCTTGTTCTTGAATATCACGTTCTGATATTATAGATTTTGAACTTTAGCGCTTATGAATTGTTCCACGAATTCAGTAGCGGCAGCAGTTGAGTGCTGCTTAAGCCACCATTATCTGTTTGATAAGCCACTGAGGCTACCTTTTGAACTTAAGCGGCCCGCGCAGGCTATGTGATGTTCGTTTCGTATTTACTGGTCACTTATTCCGGTGCATGGTTTTTACCATAATTGCGCCTGATTAGGAGAGCTTTCAAGTGGTCAGTCAATCTAATGAAGGCATGAAAAAGGGTCTCGAGATCGAGTCATCACTTTCCTGGTTACGAACCTCATGATCGGTGCCATCCTTGTATAGAAACCTTAGCCGACAAGATATAGTCGCAGAATTGACAGCGCTGTTGCACTCCATTTGCTATCCTAGCTGATGCTCTCCTTATTTACTGATTTCATGTTTTTTAGCAAATTTATCCATCCAATCTTTGGTGCATTCACGCCTCACTGTTTCACACTTGTCTATGTTAGACTGGTTAATCATCGAGTATTATTCAACTACCCTTTTGTGCGTTCTTTGCTATTCAGCCTGAAGGCTGTTTAGCTATCGATGCTACATTTTCTTCTCTCAGGGGACAGTTAGAAAATTGAGTCGGTTTGGGTTAAATCCGATGGTGTTTAGCCGCAATTTACCTCGTAACTGTTGACCATCGGTGTCAAACGAATGTGATTTGTGTCCAACGTGACGTATCGCACACATACACGCGAGAGACAGGACAGCTTCCCTGGTACTTCAATATCCTGTAGCCCTATCTGACTTTATCCAATGCAGATTGCTGATGTCACATTGAGCATATTTCACCTTTTTCATTCGTTCAACCAGATACACATTTTCTTAGTTTTTACCCCAGGTTGTTTCGTTTCAGACATAGGAATGCTTTCTGGCATTTCTGACGATGAGATCCGCTCTATGCTGTCTAACTACATGGACGTTGTCCCACCCGTGACTGGTAATAGCATGATTTCTAATTGTGCCAAACTATTTAAAGAGTCTACTCGACAAGTGTTGCTTCTCAAACTTCAGAAGCATATGGCAGGCGATCTGCCTCCGGAAAACATTGGTGATTCGAGCATTGAAAACTTACCGGTCAGCCCGCCGACTAGCCCGAGAAAGTGAGCGAAACACATCAGACTTCTGATCAACCTCATATACAGGTCTCCTCGTTCGAGCACTCAAATGACTAGTGGTACGAATTCAGATGTATCGCCTAATAGGTGAGTACATTCGCAGCTTTGGCACCATTCTGTTGACAATGCAAGGTACCCCAAACGGTCTTTGTCAATTAACTTTATTGACCATTGATAGCGTAATAGTACATGCAATTTATTCGTTCCTTGTAATGCTTGTGTTAATTGCATCACTCTCCTCACATGTCTCGGTGTATATTCTTCGTTAACACCTTCCAGTTGGATGAAACCCCAAGGTCCTTGCATCGTGACGGTTGGAAAGGTTTCCTTTTCCCGTCTTTTTGTATTACACAGCTATGAGACCAGTAGTGCTGCTGAATTCGGTCCAATGTCTCTAGGTTTTATCTCTGTGGTACAAATGTTCTAGTTCTTAGAAGAATATTCGGCTTTTCCCTTTGCTTATGTCACACAGCATTATCTCGGGACCTCGGCCCGAATTCAGCTTGGAAAGCATTCCTTTTAGTTTGCTAGCCGTGGTTGTATTCGATTGGAGTAACTTGACATTAACACTGCATTCAACTTTGATGTATACATTTTACAACCCCGCGGCTTAATTGCTAATTGGCTATGAACCATCCGTCGTCCATCTACCTCAGCCAGTGCTTACGATCATCATCATTGTGCACGTTAGCTGCAAGGGGAAAACACTTCAGACATTGTGCCGCAGTGGGGGAGGGTCAATAATTGGGGGTTGAAAACTGGGGGGGATAAAAGTGAATTTGAAACAGGACTCTGTATGTCCCAAATCTGGACAGCGGTTGCTAGTTATAGGTCCAAACGCTTGTGAATCCATGTGTTTTCTACTCTCTGTCTGCTTTTGCGTTGTAATCATGAACTGCTTGTGCTATTTGTTTGAGGAAAGGGCAATTCACCAAGACCTATGCTCTGTCTACTTCCAGACCTTTTTACAACCGAGGTAGTCCATTACGTCGAAGTTGCTTGTAACACAGTTTAACTAGAACTCGTACGTGCTGAGTCAACTTGCTCCCTTCTTCCCAGTGCGTCTGCTGGTCACGCTTTCATACTGGTGGTACACGCACCTCTGCTCTAACAGAATTGAAGTTAGTCGTCCGTCATTGCATCCTCTTGGTAATTAGCCTTAGTTCGAATAAGTTCGCTTATTTTTGGTGTTTTTTCTGAATGCTTTGTTAATTTGTCTACTTGTATTTTATAGACAACCCGTTGTTCTCTTACCAACCATAAGGGGTGAAGTCGTTACATCCGAACATAGCGCACGAAAACCATCCCCGATTCTCGAATACGCTGCGCGCTTACCCGTTTACCGTAGGAGATCTATTCATCCGAACAATCCGAGTCTGGCCAGCCCCTACTCTGAGTTGGCTCTTCCACATTCTCCGGAGGAGTCATTGTTCACTAGGACGTTTAACCAGCGGCCAGTCGTTCGTTCGCGCGATTCCAGTACTTCTTCACCCATCAAACGAACCCGGCGATCTCTTGGTTTGCTCGCTTGGTGTTGCAGCATCCTTTGGACCGTCGTGACAGTTCTGTGGAGCTCAGTCATAGCTTTCATAGGTAAGTGGTTCCTTCCATCAACCCTTTTTTGACATGAATACGTGACCACCGTGAAAACGATTAATTATTCTTTACTAAATATGTACGCTGTACCATGATTCGTATCATACGCTATCTTTGACTTTAAAGCTAAAGGAGCTACTGTATGAATTCCGCTTTTTCCACCGAATGTCAAGTTTCTTAAACGGTCTACGTGATCGTTTTTCGGTTGTTATACGAATTTCATAATGCATCACGAGCAAACAGACGTGCAATGAGGGTATTATGCCATATCCTATGATCTCGCTCTCATGACTACAGCGTGTATTACTAGAGGTTTCAAGTTTGAGTCCTTGAGTTTAGGTAAGCTACACTTTCCGGGGTTTGCACAATCGATATTGCTCTGAACTCGCTCTTTATTAAAGCCCCCATCTACTCAGGTAGCCCCGAGAAAACCAAGCTGTTCGGCGGAGCTTATCGGTTTGGCATTTTGCAGTTATTTTCCGCGAAGGAAAAGGTGCCTTTTGTCGGTCCTTATTCGAAGGGATAAGCCTACTTCACTTCTAATCTTTGCTGGCTGTCCGAACAGTTGCCCTATTTAGCCATTCATTGTTGATTTTAACAATCAATCTGATATTTACAAGTAACTGAAGAACTGCAAAATTGCTTTACCCCACGCGGTCCCACTAGTCGCGCTGATCAATTCAGTCAAGACATTATAACCTTTATGTACTTCAGTTGATGCAATTTCAGCATTTCATAATAGCCACTGTGGATGTTTTAAAACAACATTTAACATGCGAAATTGTACAACTGGAAAAAATGGCATCGGGAGTCTAAAGTCCAAAAAGAACTTTGATGTATCCCCCAACCTGGATTTCTTACATGAGGACACAGTATCTTTATTCCCTTGATCATGCCTGATTTGGCGTGTCTCTACAAATTTGAGGATAAACTATTTATTTATTTATTTATTTGTTCTGCTCATTTTACATTGCTTTACTGTGTCCCACGATCGGTTACCATATCGCATATTTATTCCTTCCACTCGATCACTGACATATCCTTAATGTTTCAAGGTCACTCATATTATTATGTTACTGTGACACTGCCCAAATACTCGCACGCCGCTGCACGCTGTACAATTTCTGCCCTCTTGCACTACGATCACAAAACCTATTCGTAAGTCATGTACTGTATTTAATATGCCTTATAGAACCACAGTTACAGGATACTTCGTTTTATTCTTCTGCTCGGGTCGTGCGTTAAGTTTAGGTTTATTTGTTCGTAGTTTCTGGTTTAGTTTTCGTACCACGTACTTAGTTTAGGCTTCGTATCGTTGGTACAGGGAGCAGCAGTGTCATTCAAACTAACGGTCCAGAATCTGAATCCTGTTGACGGTCCAGTGTTGTAGCCCAGTTCGTCGATCCGGGCGAAGGTTCCTCAGGTTGCAAAATACCTACTGTGTACTTCGCGCAGTGTCTCAAAGTCCATTTTCAAAAATTTGGCAGAAAGCAACATTAGTGACCTTGTAATTGGTCTGATCGAGGAAGCTGTCAAAAATACTTAGTGGATACTAATGAAACCGCAGCAAATAAAATAAGAGAGGTGTTCCAGTGATAGAGCAACGGCCGATTTAAAAGCCCCGCCTTGATGATGTCAATAGTAGCTCCCCTCAAAGTAGTTCGCGTCCAACTTGATACCACATGCCTCATTCAGCTCATGCGGGAGGAGATAAACAGATACTAACTGATGCTGAACTCGCTGATGCTGCATATTAATAGGTGGTGTGTTACCTTCAAAGAGTGGATAGCCTGACCCAATTGACCATAATGCATATCTCTTATGCAGCATATGATCAATTTTGTGTTGACGATGCGCAGCTTTTCATTGTTTATCAATGAGGAGTGTTCGAAAATCGATGAATGTTTGGGATATGCACACCTAGGTGATCGGACTAGACCGCGTTCGGACACCATTGATTCTTTTGTTATGATTCTATTTCTAGGATGACGGTGAATGTAAACCTTTCATGAATTATGTTCCTATGTTCAGCGTAGTCTCATGTTCGGCTAATCGTGATTTAGCACCACAACGTTTTAGTTATTGTTCACATGTTATCTTGGAGCAATCGCGGATTGTCTTCTCGCCCTAGTTGTAGAATCAAGTCGATTTTAACTGAAAGTAACGGCTCATTTGTAACTTCTGCGATCTGGATCCGTCATGTAAGCACAGCCCAACAGCTGAATTCGTCATACAAGGGTCCCGTAGCTGACACTGACATCAACTTTACACAGGTCTCCGACACCGTAGCCTAGAGGTAACGAGCTTGTCTCGTAATCTTGCGGCGCGGGTTCGAATCCACGTAGGGGTGAGCGTCCTCGCCGTCCACTCAGCCGGCGTGCGACTGGTGGTGGTCGCACGGCAGCGAAGCGCCGTTACGGTGTACAGCTGACATTATTATTATTATTATTATTCTCCGATACCGGTTTGTGGCAGTGCCACAGATGTAGAAAGCTGGTGCGGTGTATTACGTGTTGTTCATGGTCTTAAATACAGAGGCAGTGATGAGCAGCAGTCCATCAAGTGAGATTTCGTGACAAAGCTAATGGCTTTACAGTTGCCCGCACAGAGTAGCCTGAAGGCGTCAATGGAATTTATATCTGTGGTGCCATGTCTAATGGAAGTTGTGTGCCTCGCGAATCTGTGGACTTCAAATGTCAATATCAGTTTTTCCCTCAGGACAGATTGTTATACACACACACACAACAATTGGCTCGCTCTCTTTGCGGTTACTGCGCTCCTCCTGCAGTTGAGCCATGGTCATGAATTCTGTGCCTAGTCTCGGATAGTGGATGGCGCTGCTCGATACTGTGACCGTAAGTGCTGCCTTCGTAGCAGTGACAAGATTCTTTATTTGCAGCTTGAGTCAGCTTGGTATCGTCCTCGCGCGTAACTCCATCGGATATGCATGCTTCGCCCATTGGCTTATAATCTCATGTGCTTTCTTTAGCGCTGCCTTGCCACATTATTTACTCACACATGTACCAACTGCTCACACATTCGGTTTCGCCATATACTTCCGTTGATCTGTAGTTGCATTTGTGGCCGCTCGCATGTAACATAGTCTGATGGTCGGAAGTACACAACAATCACATTCATAAAATGCATTTATTGTCTACTGCTATTATTTGCGAAATCGACTAATTCCAACGCGCTCTACAGTGTTCGGAACTGCCTTGCATGCCGCTCCATCAATCGCATTTTTGACGGTTGGTAATAGACAACACACACTCATTGTGTTACCTGAATGCTGCGGGTGGATTTTTCATATGATAGCCTGGGTGCAACTACCTGTGCAATTCCATTGATTGACGCATTCCGAGTGCTGATCGGCGGTTGTTCCTACAGCGGAATTGCTCTAGGCGGCGGCCTGGATTTTGCAATTTATTGGCTAAGGCACGTTTGCTCCTTACATTTTAAACCTTCTTGATTAAACAGTACCGAATACTTGAGTCTGAATCAGTTTCCACACTCTTGTGGTGATAGCACAGGCGAGGAGGTAATGTCTTTTTATCCGATGTCCGTTCGACTGTGAGCAGGGTGCTAAAAAGAGCTGAAAACGAATATATGCGCTGGTTGAATGACGCAGGTGATAGCATTTATGTCACAAGCTGGTTTGACTAAATAGACAACATATTTTGTTCCCTGTTAATGCCTGAGCTTTCTACTGATGCAACCGGATACCGTCGAGTACCCTGATATGGCCTGATGCACAGGTGGTCTGATCGATCAGGGCCTTTAGCTTCGCCTTCACCTATCGTTCCTTGAACCTTTAGATGTGGCAGCATTTATGATCTTCGTGGATTGTTGTCGCGATAGTTGGTATTCTAACGCGTCCTAGTTGTTTCGACCCATATTCAGAACGGACGAACGCAGAGTAGCCAATTGAATGTGCAACGTTGCGGGCTAACGTACTTGTCCTACAGGAGGCTGTACACGCACGCGCACCGGATGTCGTTGATGCAGACTTGGGCTGAATCTCCGAAAATGCGATTACTGAATCATAAACTATGCAACAAAACTCTACTGCTTCTCCAATGGTCGCTTTGACGGATGGGCTGCGATGAGTGGGCACACAAGCGGACTGAGGGTCTGAATTGGGAACTGTACCCCATCAGCAAGCACCTCTACTAGTCGTAATTTACCGTTCATTTACTTGCTGAACATTCGAATCGCGCATTGATACCTGAATTGCTTTGTCTGATTTTCCAGAGCTAATGTTGTACTAGATTTAATCAAACTTCACTCTTGGTCGACATGCCCAATCTCCCACTGGCAGTTCTTTATGACTGTTTTGTGGCGAATCTGATTTTGAAAATCTAATCCAAATCTCCGTTATGGTTACTGTCTCCGTCGCCAAGTTGTTATCGTCACCAAGGTCGCGCCGGGCCGCTCTGATTGGATGTTCGAATACCTGATCGCCGCGATTGGCGGAACAAGAAGGCAAGACACCAGTCTTATGACCACCACAAACGAGACCAATATATGGCGCAGACTACCGATATTTATGGGTTCTTGGTGACGTCATCGAATGTTCTCTTACTCTGCTTATCAATAATGGTATTTGATTGTCAAAGACCATTCTTTTCGATCAGCCATTACGATTATACTACTTGATTTCTGGAAAAAACGTTGGAGTTTGGTTCGTGCAAGTTTCACTTATCCATTCCTTGGAGTCGCTCCTCCTAACTGTCCCACTTTTACTACTCCCTACAAATCAGTAACTACCCACCCTATGGGATGATGGTAGTTCAGACTTCTCTTACGTTGGGAGCGCACATGGCAGCAGAAGATATGTGCGCTGCATCACCATGAGCTACTGGACCATGACGACTGCCGCTCACCTCTCGTGGTTGTGGCCTGAACCCCCTACTCGTAACCGTAGGATCCCGGGTTCTAACCCCGCAGGGGACAGCTGGAAAGCGCACTACTACTACAACAACTACTACTACTGCCGTTTATTACTGCCACTATTAATTAGTACTACTATTTATTACTACTACAGTAATTACTACTATTATTTACTAATACTGTTAATTACTACTACTATTATTTACTACTATTATTAATTACGACTTCTGGTAATTACTACTCTTACTACTACTATTGCCTTACTACTATTACTATTATTACTACTCTTACTACGATGGTTACCATCATTACCATTTTTACTACTATAACTACTATTATTAGTACTATTACTACTATTGTTGCTACTATGACTACTATTCTTACTACTATTACCAATATGCTTACTACTACTACTACTGTCATTACTGCTATTAATACTATTATTACTTTTATCAATACTATTATTACACCAATTCTACTATTATGACTATTATTATTTCTGCTCTTGTTCCTTCTATTATTCCTACTACTGCTGCTCCTACTACTACTACCTACTACTACCTCACATAATCTCAAACTTTCGATAGCTGTCATCGTGTTTATTTGGGCTGACAACTTTTTCTCAACTAAGTCCGTTGTGTTAGAGGCCAGTTATTATAAGTTGACGCAATCCGCGGGCATCCACATTGTTTGCAAATGGTGTTGTCACGATCGCTATCCTGCCTGGTTGTTTCCCTACTCGCTTCAGCTTAACTGAGGTAGTTGGTCGAGTCGGATCATTTGAAGGTCAGCGGCGTGTAATTGTGAAGCCTGCATTGTCCCCGGACTTAATTTCAGTTCTGTTATGGTCCGAGCACTTAATGGCGGTGGATCAAGTTACCACGGCTCACATCGTTATATTAATAATAAATAACAGCAACAAGACGGTGAGTTTGAACGCAAATGAAATGCAGAAAGACGGTGAATATTCGCAGCCATATGGAAGAAACGGAATACGGGAGCGTCACTTACTGCGTGACTGTGTCACGTGCGATAGAGACTCAAGCCACCAATGTGGACCATCCCGGGGCCTCCATCCACGAAGACGGCACGCACTGACCTGACCAAGCCCCTCAGTCAATTTCTTCATGCTACGTCCTCGATTGGCCACCTTGCGGTTTCACCCAACTTCGTACACCGGCGGCGTGTAATACCGAGGAGAGGGATCCACTGGCATACGGAGAACATGACCTGACCAACATAGGAGGTTAAGCTGTATCATACACCCCAGTGACGTACCAGAGGGAATTGTATTAAAGCCATACTGGCCTGTATCACCTTTTCTCACTTGGTGTTCCCACCAGAGCCGAAAAATATTCCACTAGCCCCGGTAACCAAAGATTGTCAATCTCTTAACGTCCTCATTGCGAATTGGTTGGGTCTGTGATGCAAATAGTAACACTGATAGGCTGATATCCCCGTATATGGTTGATCCTCTGAAAAGCCACACGAACTTTGCTGATACGACCTGGACTTAAGGCTCTTTGTATTCACGGTATGCACATGGTCCGCTTGTTCATCATTTTTAAAGACTTGATCCGCAGAGTAAGATTATATTCCCGTTTGTTGACACACTGAAATGAGTCTCGCCGTTTTTTCCTCTTCATAGCTTGGCTCAATCGAGGACCGATCTCCCTTCGGTGGATTATCGTCATCTTTCTAGTCGCCGTTTCCTTGATTTCCATTTGCATCCATTTTCTTTTTGATGATCCATTTTACCAGAATCCGGTGAACGAGCTTCATCGCGTTCTGCGCCCGTGATTGTCGACGGATTTGATGGTGGTTTAGCCGGGCACGTGCACATCCCAGTCTATAATTGCATGTGCTTACAAATGGGCTCCTCTGACCCACTGTTATCCAGGATGTCACTCAGGATTTGTTGGCACTTTGTATTCATTTAATTGTATACTTGCTTTATCTTAGCGGACCTTCGACTGTTCCCTCTGAACATATGTCAGTTTGTGCAAGCAATTATATAAATCGTTGAAGAAGTGTCTTCGCCCATGTTTGTCTCCAGGTTCGCATCCGAGTTGGGAAGTTTTCAGCTTCGCTCATTCTTTACACTGCATTCCACCATCGTCGTAGTCCTCGTTTGGTTTCGTCGGGTAGATAGTACCTGATCTGCGAGTGAAACCCTGAATGTAATAGCTAACGGCTGACGCCGCTCATTACCTGTCGAAACGATGATCGCTCGCCGGCTGGTACTGCACAAGTCTTTGTTTGTTAGGTCGACAAACTACGAGACAGTCGCAGTTCTGTGTTATTAGATATTCCTGGCCGAATGCTCGCTACCATGACGGTTTCACCGAGCTTTGAATCCCAGCCTGCGAAGAGTAGGTAAGCTGGATCGTCGCGTCGTGACTGGGGTCGAAGCTTGTAATTATTCTTCGTGAGCGACAAATTCCTTGTAAGCGTGAATCATAAGCCTCTGCCGATTACCTACCGCTCCTCGCCACTACCGATTTAAGGGTTTAGCAAAATCCTTAGATCGGTGCCATTGTAGCTTCGACGACTCGACTAGTGCTGAGAAGACGACCAGACTTGCCCATTTAGAACAAGTAAAAGTCGTAACAAGATTCTCGTAAGTGAACCCTCAGAAAGGTTATTACAGCTGTCCAAGCTCCATATCATCTGTCGATGAATGAGGCTAGTGTCGGTACTAAATCGTCGTCGCTATTTGGCCATGCTTGCGGACTAGTCTGTTACGCACAATCGCTCGGTACCCAGGATGCCTATCTGTCGCACTCTCATAGTACATTCGGCTTATGACCATCTGCCTCTTTAGTGGACCCTGCCTGTGCTGGTACTATAACGGTACATGGCTCATTCAGCGGTGAGTATCAAGAACAATGGCCTGGCCACCGCCCTGCGCTCATCCTGTTTTACATTGCATGATCCGTACTGGATTCGACGGAGATGCGTCAATGCTCATTAATGTCAACTGGCTATTATCCCTTGACGGTTACGTCAAAGGGGTCAGGCCTACTGGGTTACCCAAATTTGGCCAGGCACACATCTGGTTGTTAAACAGATGGGTCTTTATCGACTGACTCAATGTCGTCTATGCGCACTTTCCTCATTATCTTTTGTGATATTTTCCGAAATACAACTCTCCAATCCTGGCCTCAGGTTAGACATGATTACAGACTGAAGTTATGTACATCGCTGAAATAGGCGAACAAACAAGGATAGCTTCAGTAACGGCGAGTGAATTTGGAAAGCCCTGACGCTGAGGCTGGAGTCAGTCGATCATTAAGCAATGTGGAGTTCAGGTAGTTCCACAGAAATGCTGCTCCATCCCAAATCCACCAGTGAGTACGCTGGTACAGACGACCCGTCGGCGTAAAACCCGTTCTGATGGATTCTGGGCAAGCCAGTGGTTATCTGGGTCCACCTTGGAGTCGGGTCGTTTGTGACTGCACCTTAAAGTGCGTAGTTAACTCTCTCCCGGGCACGAGCACGAGTCCCTTAACGAGTAGATACCGTGGGAGGCAGTTAAAAAGTACCTTGAAGAGAGATTAAACAGGGCATGAAACCACTCAGAGGTAAGCAGTTGAAGCTGGACTGCAGAATTTGAGAATTCATCCGGTAAGAGTTGCTTGAGTTATTGGCCATTTAGTTAGAGTTACGTTAAACGACATGTTTCCTCCCATCAGATGAGGATGTGCACTATTTGTACTGATTACTATACGCTTTGGATGTTCATTAGACCTCCCGGAGTGGACATCACGACCGATGTTGCTACCTAACTCTCAGAGTTGTAATGGCCTTGTGGTGTCTCCGGGGTGCTACTTGGCCTAGATCCAAACAGATCGTTGGGTTGGTTTCGAATGTAATCAGCTGACTCTGATAGTTCCTTTCAATGTGCCGGAGATGCCCATCTGACCTGAATCGCTGGCATATCCCGTCTTGATTTTTATACATTCTACGCTAGCAGGCGTAGTGGTGCCTAAAATTCGTTCGTTGGGTAGTTGCATATGTGGCTCTTCCAAGAGCCAATAGTTCGTGGTGTATTGTTAGACTATTCACCTTACCCGGCTTGAAACACGAACCAGTAACATGTGTGCGTATAGCAAACCACAGGAGTAGTGATAGTTAGGATTTGACAGTTCCATATTGAGGCGATATCGTGCAGTGTCACTGGGCGGCCGGCACATTGCCAGCCCGTCACATAACGTAGTCTCGTTTTGGGACTCTACATCATCGTGGCGGAGCGTGAGCGAACATGCTGGGACTCGAAAAATGTCGAACTATGCTTGAGGAAGTTGAAACCAGTGGAAACTAATGAAGTACCGTATCGATCCATAAATAACCAGCGGAAGCTTTATTCCCGTCTGTGTGAGACAACTGCCGAGTCAGTGAATCGCGGTCCTGCACAGAATACATGATTAGAAAAATGTACATATAACAAACTTATTTTTGTCATAGTGGTAGAAAGGAGACGCGTTAAATAGAATCAGAACACGCTCGTATAAGGATTAAATTAATTGGTGATATCAGGAAGACAATCAAGGTCGAAGTGAAGTACCAAGAAACAAGTCACAACAAATTCAAGGCAAGAGGAGAAGTATAGTAGGAGAGATGAACAATCCTATTATATGGGTTAAGAAGCACTGTTTTACAGGCCTTGTTAGGTACTCTGATGGGTTATCGAATAACGTTAATAAAAAATGCAGTTAGTGGTTCTACTGCCAAAAGAATGGACTTAGCGTATGCAATGCAACAGCCATGCACTCCAAGTGTTTCCATAGCTTCAGTAGGCGAAAAAAGTCTTGCATATTTCCCGGGAGTAGGATGGAGAGTAGCGTCAAGTAACAAAAACTAAGTAGCGGAGTGCGTCATCCAAGCGACTTTTAAATATGGCTAGCGCGGGTCCAGAAACTATCGACTAGGGGAGAGCGTTGACACACGAATGAAAAAGTAATTTCTACGGCACGTCAGACGGCTGTACTGGTTTGGTGATTTCAAGGAGTGGCCTCTAACTTTTGTACTATTGTTGAGTTGCAGTAAACCGCGGCATACATGATTTGGATTGTGTAAAATAAAATCGTCTAGTAGTCGGCGATGCAACCCTCTGAATACTCCCAAACGTTTCAGCCTCTGCTCGTATGAAAGGTAGCGCATTCCAATGACATATTTAGAAGCTCTACCTCGAGGTTGGTCCAGTGCAGTAAGGTCGTGCCTGGGCCATGGCTGCCAGGATTGGATTGCGTATTCGACATGGGGGCAAACATACGCATACAGCATCTGTGGTGTCTAGTTGTTTGGACACCTGTCGTAGCAAGCCGAAGTGCTGGTTACCACTTTCAGATGCCTTTACGGATTCCTTGGAACAACTCAGATTATCCTGAACAAGCACGCCAACTTCGCGTTCGACGGATGATCGGTGTAGCACTTACGTTCCTAACTTGTAGGGATAGGTACTCCGGTGTCTTATGAAGAGTACCTTGCATTTGTCCACGTTGAACTGTAACCGATTTCGGTTTGACCACTCATGTACCAGGTCACACTGAATTAGATGTGTTCAAGTGAAGTAACACGCTCATCCGTGGAGCCGTCTCCTTGGGACCCGCACCCATGCAATGTGTTATTCGGGGGGTTTTACCCACACTCCACCTGGTCGCATGCCTGTGTGGCTTAAAAGCAGACTAGTCGTCAGCGGTCTCACTTGTCACTTCTTCATAAGCAGGCCACTCAAGCCAGTCGGCCCGTTCGCAATTCATTGGTTTCTTGATGAGCATAATGATCGAACTCATCTGCTTTGGCGGCATATGCCATTACGTTTGAGTTCAGCAGTTCGGGGCGTAGTGTTGCTTTTGATTTTTAAATTCATACACTTTTTTTATTCCCCAGTGGGTTTTTGACTGTCCGCCTTGTGTAGGTAAACAATCTGCTTGGGTGCCTAAAACCATCTTCCCAGGAGATCAGCCCAGCCGTGACCAACAAAGATAAAACAAAAGAACAAGATTCGAATAGAAATAACAATGAAATAATTCAAAAAATAACATGTCCCGTGATAGTGCAGGGCGCCGTCGTATCGGTTGGTGTAATAAAATTGTTTGGATAACCGCGTATCCTTCGATTCTGTCGACAGGTCTGCATTGTTTGTTGAGGAATGGCGTCCCCGGGAAGTCCCTTTTCGTTTTGCTTACTATGTACAGTCTAACCTCGGGTAGAGTTAGGGATTATATCAAACTTTCGCCTTCTATTTTTGTCACCAGTGGACTTCGACAAGGATGCTCTCTCCCCCATTCGTTTTCAATTTTGTCATATACATACATATGTATGGTTGGCGGCATCCGGTTTCGGATTCGCCTGTCACTTTGGCAAGCCACAGGACGCCTGCACCTACAGAGCGACCACAGATGGCTTAAGCCATCCAAAGTATTGTTGCATGGAGCCTGGGATATTAGTCGGTGATCAATGACACGTAAGAGCCGTGTCAAATACGGGACAGTATAGAGGGTGGAGGCGACTGAACCCGACGTATATTATGCAGGCAAAACAATTTGTGTCAGCGGATGTACTCTCGGCAAAACAAGTGGACGTTTTGGAAGTTAAAACTGCCGTAAAATCCAATGTTGCAAAATACTGAAAGAGCGTGTTTTCCGATACACTACAAGGCTGATGGATGGAAGCCTTCGATGGAGCTGTTAGCGGGGGAAAACGGAAGGTAAGGATGGTTACGAATAGTTGCATGGGCTTGAACAAGGGCTTCCAAGATGGGATGTGTAGCAGAGTTCGCTGGGTCCAGGATTTGTTATTACTTATTTATGTTGATCATGTGGATCAAAGTGCATCATCAGTGGGCCGTCGGGGCGGGCTGGTCAGACTGCAAAAATAACTGGCTAGTCCAGAGAAAAGGCCGACAGGACATTCCCTCCGCTGCAGACCCGACGGTGCGCTTGGATGTCACTCCGCACACCACACACCAGTCCACGGTCCTCGTCCCACGAAGAAATCCGGCTTCCTCCTCGGCAACTCCTAGCCAGGAGTTGGGGG